CTTGACCTTAAAAAAATATCATTGTAGGATATACCGGGCAAATGTATACCGGGCAATGGCACTTAACTAGAACTAGTATGACAAGACTTTTGGTAAATGTCCGAAATATATACTAGGTCTAGTGCCAGTTTTGCTATAGCTTAAATATTTTTAAAAAAATTAAACAAAGCGTTTGAATCAATTTTAAACTGATAATGAAATTATTTCTTTAAAATTAAAAAAATAGTAATAAAAACTGCTCCAGATAAGAGGAATTGAAGTAGTTGCTTTATATAGCGCATGTGCGGGAAAAAAAATTATCCAGATTCATCTAAAAGTGGATGAATATCCCAAGACACCAATTTAGTCCTTCAAAAATTTTCGTTCGGAAAACCAATAAAAAGATAATACAAAGATATGCTTGAAGCAAAAATTTGAACTAATATTAGCCCACTCAAAATGATAAGCCATTAAAATTGATAACCCATTGCTTCATAGCTCACTTTTCTGATTACCCATTTACCATGAAACAGAAGCTTATTATAAGAAATCGTTAGCCCCTAAACGTTTCTTCTGGCCAACCTCTACAGAAAAAAAATTGACAGTGACAAATACTTATTAGATTTTAAACCACAAGTTTAAATTTATGCATCGAAGTTTAAAACCAATGCAGGAAACAGTTTACGTTAATCTAGGGATAAATATAAAAAATTTTCAATTCGCTATTTAATTTTAACCTCTAAAATCATTTGCAATGAAATGAATTTCGCAATAAAAAATTTATTAAGTTCATTACCAAAATTTAAAAAATTATAATGTGCAATAGGAATTTAAANCGATATTTTAATACTTACTGACGATAGATTAGAACAAACATCAGTGTTTGGAGTATCGGGCATATATATACCGGGCAATGGCACTTGACCTTAAAAAAACATCAGTGTAGGATATACCAGGCAAATGTATACCGGGCAATGGCACTTAACCAGAACTAGTATGACAAGACCTTTGGTAAATGTCCGAAATTTATACTAGGTCTAGTGCCACTTTTGCTATAGCTTAAATATTTAAAAAAAATTAAACAAAGCGTTTGAATCAATTTTAAACTGATAATGAAATTATTGCCTTAAAATTAAAAAAATAGTAATAAAAACTGCTCCAGATAAGAGTAATTGAAGTAGTTGCTTTATATAGCGCATGTGCGGAAAAAAAAATTATTCAGATGCATCTAAAAGTGGATGAATATCCCAAGACACCAATTTAGTCCTTCAAAAATTTTCGTTCGGAAAACTAATAAGAAGATAATACAAAGATATGTTTGAAACAAAAATTTGAACTAATATTAGCCCACTCGAAATGATAAACCATTAAAATTGATAACCCATTGCTTCATAGCTCACTCCTCTGATTACCCATTTACCATGAAACAGAAGCTTATTATAAGAAATCGTTAACCCCTAAACGTTTCTTCTGGCCAACCTCTACAGAAAAAAAATTGACAGTGACAAATATTTATTAGATTTTAAACCACAAGTTTAAACTTATGCATCGAAGTTTAAAACCAATGCAGGAAACAGTTTACGTTAATCTAGGGATAAATATAAAAAATTTTCAATTCGCTATTTAATTTTAACCTCTAAAATCATTTGCAATGAAATGAATTTCGCAATAAAAAATTTATTAAGTTCATTACCAAAATTTAAAAAATTATAATGTGCAATAGGAATTTAAAAAAAAAATTTTTTTTTTCGATATTTGAAAAAGTCAAAATTTTTATTTTATTACTAACTTGTTAGTTGAACTATGATGGAAACAAAAATATAATAACAAAAAGTATATAAATCATTTACAAGCAAGAAAATGTGTTTCACAGACACATTTCAAAGTCAATTTTTTATTAAATTCTCGCAATAATGTTGCATACACAAATTATAACATTGAAAAATTTACAGCGATGACACTTAGTTTAAATTTTAGCCAGTTATTCGATTGCTAGTTGTAAATCTAAAGTTGAAACTAGTTAATGATTTTTAAGATGTTCATCAGAAGGCAATGAATTGTACTTTTTTTTAACAATGTTTATTACAGATTAAAAATAGGTAGGTAACACATATTCATAAACTGAAATAACAAAGAATAAATATGTAATAAACGTTATAATAATTCTAATTTTTTAACGTTGTATAGTACTGTCCATCGCAATGTTGCTAACAGAATATCTATGCTTTATATCTATGCTTTGACCTAAAAACCAAGAAGTAGTACCAACCAAGTGGGAGTAGAAACCCTCTATCCCCTGAGGCACCTCTCATTGTCTAAATCTATTATAGAAAGGCCGGAATAGCTTGGTCAGTAGGGCGCTGGGCCCATGTCCAAGAGTTCGTGGGTTCGATCCCCGCCGGCCGAAGACTCCCCGTGTAGTAAATGGTGCCTGATGCAAGTTATATCTGTTGAGTCACAAAGTCCTCCATGTTCCCATAACAAATCAATACCTCTGGGGGTACTGATCCAGGAGTTCCCTTGTCTTCTGGATTGATTCAAAATTACAAGGCTACGGAGATATTGAACATTAGTAGTCGTAAACCCAAAAAAATTGAGTTGGCTGTTCAACGATGGATATATAAAAAAAAGTAGCAAGCTTCCAAAAAAAATGTGGCAAAATTTTTTCCACAGTTAATTTTTAAAGTCTGCAATAAAACGGGACCTATATTAATCGTTAGCTCACGTTATCCCACAAACAATTTTCGCGTGGTCATTGCTCAAACTAAAATAAATTGAGTTACCGAATTTTTCACTTAAATACCACAAGTTATAATTTTGTCTCCAAGCATCAGACCGTTATATAAAATGGTTTTTCCGCATGCCAAAAAAATATATTATGTCTAAAACAAGTTTAAACTTTTTAACAATAACTAAAAATTTTAAATTTGTATCCAAACTTATCCTATTATAAAAAAGTTTAGCCTGCGATATACAATCTTTTGAAAAATAATATTATGGCTACTTTTCCAATTTTTATAGATATTCAGTACCAATAGGTCACCAATATACGGTTGTGAATTTGAAATTGTCGGCAGTTAAAGGCTTTTAAGTTGTCCATCTGTCCGAGATAAACGATATTGGTTTTTCACAAAGTTTATTACTTATGAGCAATGGGAAACTAACACATATTCCTCGATTGAAAAAAACGAAGAAATATTTTGTAAAACCTTTTAAATTTTAATATTGGTATCAATTCGCTTTTTACTTTATTGTTTTGGCATGTCATTCGTGGCACGCATTGGTTACCTCTGCGTTTAAGTTTTTTGAAAGTATTGTCTCCCCATCGGGGGAAAAATATTGGCGAAACAATCTCATTTCTGACAATAAAAACCGATTGTTTTAAATTTGCCCCCGAATTTAAACGAGTTT